CCCAACGTTCCATTTTTTCCCCCAGGGAATGGCAGTGGGCAAGGGTCAGATGAATCGGTTCAGACAGGGAAAATCATCTCACTAACAAAGAGCCCTAACCAAATAACTCCTAACATTTTATGGTCCAGGGAACTGACAGAAGGGAGCAGGGGAAGTCTAGAACTAGAAAAGTACTGGGTCAGAGTGGATGAAAGTATCTTGGTCGTAAGATTAGGAGGCCTTGAATGGAGGTGTTTGAGTGAGGAATGGGTGGCTGCCCTAGGGGGCCTGAGTTCTTGACTGCAACTCCTTCTGGAAAACTGTAACCCACTGGCAGAGCACTAAATCTGCTGTGGGGAGGTGTATTAGTCTGTTTTCATGCTGCTGATAAAGACGTACCCGAGACTGGGTAATGTATAAGGAAAAACAGGTTTAATACACTCACAGTTCCATGTAGCTGGGGAGGCCTCACAATCATGGCAGAAGGTGAAAGGCGCATCTCACATGGTGGCAGACAAATGAGAGCTTGTGCAGGGAAGCTCCCCTTTATAAAACCATCAGATCTCATGAGACTTATTCACTATCATGAGAACAGTACAGGAAAGACCTGCCCCCATGACTCAGTTACCTCCCACTGGGTCCCTCCCACAACACACGGGAATTGAGGATGACATTTGGGTGGGGACACAATCAAACCACATCAAGAGGGCAGCTTTCTCCCAGTAGGCCTGCCAGGTAAAGCCTTTGTAATGCTTAAAGTCAGGCCTGGAAAGTCACACATAGATTTTGATTTGGCCTGGAGCCCATCTCTTCACTTCTTGTATGTGTCTGTTCTACAATCATTTAATTTTGCTTAGAGGACACTTTTTCTAATTTCCTTTAGTGAAGACCTGCTGGTAGTAAACTAGTTCACTTTTTTTTTTTTTTTTTTGAGACAGAGTCTCACTCTGTTGCCCAGGCTGGAGTGCAGTGGCACAATCCTGGCACACTGCAACCTCCGCCTCCCAGGTTCAAGTGATTCTCCTGCCTCAGCCCCCCAGTATCTGGGATTACAGGCATGCGCCACTATGCCTGGCTAATTTTTGTATTTTTAAAGTAGAGACAGGGTTTTGTCATGTTGGCCTGGCTGGTCTCGAATTCCTGACCTCAGGTGATCCAACCGCCTCACCCTCCAAAGTGCTGGGATTACAGGCATGAGCCACCATGCCTGGCCAACTCTTTCACTTTTTAGTCTGAAAAATATCCTTACTTTGTCCTTGTTTTCAAAAGATATTTTCCCTGAGCACAGAGTTGTTAGGTTGATAATTGTTCTCTCTCAGCATGTGGAAGATCTTATTCCATTGTCTTCTGGCTTGCATTATTGCTGTTAAGAAGTTAGCTAAAAGTCCAATTGTTGCTTTTTTTTAAGATAGTCCATCTCTTCTCTCTTACTTCAAAGAGTTTCTTTTGTCTCTTCTGGTCTGTAGTTTCTCTAAAATATGTCTTTTTGTTTATTCTGTTTGGGATTCACTGGGTTTCTTAATTTTGTGTATCTCATTATTTCTGGAAAATTTTGATTTATTATGTCTTCAGATAATTCTTTGTCCCATTTTCTTTTTTCTGAAACCCTGATTAAACACATTAGACAATATAACTCTATCTTTCATATTTCTTAACCTTTCATTTATATTTTACATTCTTTGTCGTTCTGTGCTAAATTCTCATAAATTCCATCACTATTGTCTTGCAGTTTATAAACTCTCTCATTAAATTAGTTAAATTTGTCCCCTAATTTTAAAATTTCACTTAGTATAATTTATATTCCCTAAAGTTCTATTTGGTTCTTTCTACAGTATGCTTGGTCATTTTTTTTTAATGGTACCATGCTCTCTATTCTACTTTCAAACTCTTCTTTGACTTCCTTGAAATAATGGACATAGCTTAAATACTTTTAACCTAAAAATTCCAATATCAGAGGACACTATGGGTTAATTCTTTATATTTTTGTTTGTTCTCGCTCAGAACGCTATGATTTTCCCCACTTCTGGTTGTGAGTTAATATTTTCTGTAACTTTATAAGTGGGAATTTCTTCACACCCTCTACTTAGCTTTTACTCAATCATGGTAACTTTCCTTGCAGACCTGAGAGTTATTTTGGTTCACCACTGTATTGAGGTATAATATTTTGGGGTCTCATTTTTGTTGGAGTTCTATAGTATCCTTAATGTGGCAGAATCTGGAATTTGTCTACAATCTCCTGATCTCTGAATGGAATTTAAGTTTACCACGTTCTTTAAACTTTCTCAAAGAGAAAGCTTGTTCAATGTTCTGTGTATCTCCAAATGACCAACAAACTTATTAAAAAATGCTCAACATCACTAACCATGAAGGAAATGCAAATTGAAACCACAGTGAAATACCACCTTACTCCAGTCAGAATGGCCATTATTATTATTTTTGAGACAGGGTCTTGCTGTCACTGAGGCTGGAATGCGGTGGCATGATCACAGGTCACTGCAACCTTGACCTCCTAGGCTCAAGAGATCCTCCCACCTCAGCTTCCCAAGTCGCTGGGACCACAGATGCATGCCACCATGCCAGCTAATTTATTCTTTATGTTTATTTTTTGTACAAAAAAACATCTCACAATATTGTCCAGGCTGGTCTTGAACTCCTGAACTGAAGCAATCCTCCTGCCTTGCCTTCCGAAAGTTCTGGGATTATAGGCACGAGCTACCATGCCTGGCCCCAGAATGCCCATTATTATAAAGTCAAAAAACAACAGACATTGACTGGATGTGGTAAGAAGGGACTGCTTATACACTACTGGTGAGAATGTAAATTAGTACAACCTCTATGGAAAACAGTATAGGGATTTCCCAAAGAACCAAAAGTATATCTACTATTTTATCCAACAACCCCATTACTGGGTATCTACCCCAAGGAAAATAAGTCATTATATCAAAAAACACTGGCATGCATATGTTTATTGCAGCACAATTCACAGTTGAATAGGTATAGAACCAACGTAACTGCCCATCAACTGATGAGTGGATGATGAAAATGTGGTATATATACACCATGGAACACTGCTGAGTAAGCTACAAACAAGAATGAAATGTTTTTTGCAGCAACTTGGATGGCGCTGGAGGCCATTATTCTAAGTGAAGTAACTCAGGAATGGAAAACTGAATACTGTATATTCTCACTTATAAGTGGGAGCTAAGCTATGGATACACAAAGGTATACAGAGTGGTGTAATGGACATTGGAGACTCAGAAGCGGGGAGGGTAAGAGGGAGGTGAGGGATAAAAAACTACATATTGGATACAATGCACACTAGTTGGGTGAGGGGCGCACTAAAATCTCAGGCATTACGAGTATACAATTCATCTGTGTAACAAAAACCATTTGTACCTCAAAAGCTATTGGAATTAAAATATATATATATATTTAAAGCTGAGCACAGTGGCTCATGCATGTAATCCCAGCACTTTGGGAGGCTGAGGCAGGCTGATCACTTGAGTACAGGAGTTCAAGACCAGCCTGGGGAATGTGGCGAAACCCTGTCTCTACAAACAAACTAAACAAAACACACACACACAAATTAGCACCCTTTAGTTCAACTACTCAGGAGGCTGAAGTGGGAGGATCACCTGAGCCTAGGAGGTGGAGGTTGCAGTGAACCGAGATTGCACCACTGCACTCCAGCCTGGGCAACAGAGTTAGATACTGTCTCAAACAAAACAAAACAAAAACAACACGCATGCACACACACATATGTATATATATATTTTAAAGTTTCAAAACCCTTAAAAAGCAAAAAATATTCTATGTATCTCTTGGCATATAGTCTTTTGATACTTAGTCTTTTGTCTAATATTCTTGTTAATCAGTTCATTCATATATTTAATAAGGTGTTTCTCAAATATTATCTAGCATTTTTAGTCATCTTCAGTGTAAGGGCCAGTTAGAGTACTGGTGTGCTACTTCATCAGAAACGAAAGATCCTACTCTGTCTTTCAATCGTTTTATTATCATTAATACAACTGATGCTTTGTACTCTCCTTCTGAAAATCCAATTACACACATACTAGAACAACTTGATATTGTATCACAATTCTTGGTAATTCACTCTGGCTTTTTTTTTTTTCTAGATGATTCACTCTGGCATTTTTTTTTCTTTACTCTTCTCTTTTTGGATAATTTCTATTGGCATATATTCAAGTCCACTGATGCTCTCTGCAGCCTTGTGCAGTTGGCTGATGAGTCTGACAAAAAAATTTTATATCTCTGACATTGCATTTTTTAACATATTTGACTCCATTTTATGATTTCCAACACTGCTGAAATTTCCCTTCTGTTCATGTGTGCAGTCTATTTTTCTTACTAGATCTTTAACATAATTATCATAGTTAGGTTAAACTCCTCTGATCATTCAAACTTCTAGGTTATCTCTTAGTCTTGTTCTCTTAATTGCTTTATCTCTTGACAATAAGTTCATTTTTTCTTGTTTTTCTTTTTTTTTGGTGTGTCTTGTAATTTTTTATTGAATATTGGATGTTGTGTGAGGAAAAATAGTAGAAATTGGCTCCAGAGAGGATGGGGATTACTGTGTTTGCTCTAGACGGCTCTGAAAATATTATTGAGCCTCTCTGAGCTTCAATCATGTCATCAGCAAATTGTGAATAAGCACCAACTTCATGGAAATGTTGTGTAAAATATACAAAACATAAATGCAAAATTGCATTGCTATTTATCTAGTGACGGACCCTAGTACTTATCTTTAATAAGGCAATTGAATTATGTATTCTTGATTTTTTCCCCAAATGATAATATCCTTTTTTCCTGCAAATTAAAAAATTCCGAAGTTCATTTTTAAAATTCACATAATATGAAAATATACAAATTAGAAAGTCAAATGCCTCCATATATTCAATTAAGATCATACTAAAATTGAGTAATTCTTCTACTCCTTCAATAAATAATATAAACCATATTTTCATATTTAATGTTTATGTTCATAAATGAACACATAAAAATCAGAGATCTTCCAAAAATTTATTGTGTTTAGTTTTAAAGTGGAAACGATGTTTTTAAGAGGTGATATAAAGAAATGCCCTCGCTGTGATCCCTATCATATGTTGATTCTATGTGGTGGAAGGGAGGGGAGAATGATTCCTTTTTCTAGAATCAGAGAATTTGGAAAGTATCAAGAAAGATAATAACAGAAAACATGAAATAGAGTTGCGCTTTGAAGATGAATTAGATGAAATTGTTATGTGAAGAGGGGTTTTCCAAAGTTGCAGAGCCAGGATTCCTGGCCAGAAGCATGAAAATGTTTCTTTCTTGCTGTTTCTAGGACCTAGGCAGCATTTCTTCCATGTCTGCAACAACAAAGGAAACAACAGCCCAAACAGCAGCAGCAACATTCATCTGCTTTGGATCCATGACAGTCATGGTGTCTCCGTGGGAGTGATGGAAGAAGAAATACTTGTATAAGTCATCAAGTAGACTGGCTCCTGCAGATAAAAGAGGAAGAATTCTTAGTGGAGTATTTTGACAGATACTGCTGAATACACACACCTCTCCCTCTTCACTTTTGCCTGCTCCTATTGTACACTCTGCAATAGCAAAATAATTACTTTTCCAGGCTCTCTTGCAGCAAGAAATGTCCATGTGTCACCATTCTGATGACTATAATGTGAGTACCCAGCTGTGGGTGAGTTCTAGAAAAATCTTTAACTTCGTTGACGAAGAGTTGGGAAAATACCCCTAACGCTGCATTAAAGGCAGATGAGAACTTTGGAGCTTCATGGGGCAAAAACCCCCTAAACTGAAAATGGCAGAGTGGAAGTAGCCTGCATTTAGAAAATATTGCTAACTCTCTCAAGAAGCTCTGCACCGCCTTCTTCTGGATTTCCAGTGATATAAGGGAAAATAAACTTTTATTTGTATAAGTAACTGAGACAAATGCCTCATATTTATAAAAAGACAGTATCTTCTTTGTATCTGCATGTTTGCAAATCATGTACCTTCCTGGATACAAAAGAAAGTCAATACCCCTTTGTTCAAGTTTTCCTTCTCAAATCATCCATTTACTACCTAGAGTCATAATGTCCCCAGCAACCTCCAAGGGCACCAGCAGGAGTCTCTGCCCCACTTCAAAGCTTCCTTCTCATTCAAGTGCGAAGCCTTTTGCTAGTTTCAGTGATGCATCATAGCCTCAGGGAAACTTCACTGTCTCTCATATATCCTTGAAAACCTACTAGGCTCATCTTACGGATTCTAGTTGCAGTTCTTTAGCCTCTAGCTAACTTGATTGATTGGTTGGTTGACTGTTTTATTGTGAAATATACCAAGCACACATAAGATTGTAGAGAACATAAATGTATATTATAAAGGGTGACAATAATAAGTGTATATATATATATATATCCATAATTCAATTCAAGAATGATATTACTAGTATCTTGGAAACCCATTTATGACACCCCTGCCCATTGCGGATCTTTTCCTCCCTCCAGAGGTACCCACTAGCCTGCCTTGCCTCTTAATCACTCCTTGCTTTTCTACAGTTTTACCACTTCATACTTTACCACATATATGTATTTGACTATATATAACAAATATACATGTACAGATAACACAGTTAATATTGCTTACTTTTGAACCATATCCTCCAGATATATTTCTTCAGCTTGCTTTTTCCATCCAAACATAGATAAGATTTATCTATGCTGTTGTGTATAGCTGTAGTATTTGCATGTTTTATTGCAGTACATTACCTCTTTGTATTTATTTTTTATCCATTTTACCAACAATAGTCATTTAGGTTGTTTCCAGTTTTCTGTTACGTGTTGCTACCAACAGTCTCAAGGCTTTGAATGTAGGAGTGGTTTGCTGGGCTATAGAATATGTGTGTGTTCAATTTTACCATGCAATTCCAAAATGTTTTCCTTTTCAATTTACACTTACACTGTTAGTATATGAGTCATTCTCTTGCTTCACATAGTCTACAGCACTTGATATTGTCAAACTAATTTTTGTAAATTTGGTGAGTGTGAAATGTTAGCTCATTCTCAGTTTTAAAAGTGAGACTAATTGTGAGATTAAGTATGTTTTTAACTATGGATTTTTTTGTCATTTATGTGTGTTTTCTCTTTTGTGAAGTTCTTGTTCATGCATTTTGTCCATTTTTCAATGGATTTGTCTTTTTCTTATTGACTTGTAAGAGTTCTTGGCATAATTTAGACACTACTCTTCTGTTAGTAAGTTTGTATATATCATTTCCCAGTTTGTGGCTCATCTTTTTACCCTGTTTAGTGTGTGTTTTGATGAATAAGTGTTCTTACTTTCAACGTAGTTGGATTTATGAATCTTTTCCTGTAAGATTTGTACTGTTTATGTCTTAAGAAGTCCTTCCTTACCCTAATATTATAAAGATATTCTCTGATATTCCATTCTGAATTTTAAAAAGATTTTATTTTTGTTTTTAAGTTCTCACCCACCCAGAATAGGAAATGATTTTTGTGTTGGGTGTGAGGTAGGATTCTATTTTCAGTTTTCCGTTGTCTAGAAACATTTATTGATTAGTAGTACATCCTCTTTCCCCACTGATCTGTGGTACCGATTGTGCCATATTAAGTTTCCTTATATGTTTATTTTTGTGCTAATTGTTTCAGTGATCTATTTGTCTATCTCTGCAACAATGCCACACTATCTTAATTGCTATTACTTTAGAATCCTTGATATCCCTTAGGACAAATTCCCTCACTTTCTCTTCCTGCTTCTTCAGGAGTGTTTTGATTATTCAGAACCATTTGCTCTTTCAGATAAATTTTAGAACCATCTAAATATACTCCAAAAGTATTTTTGGATTTTGATCAGAATTGTGGTAATATCTATTTTAAACTGGGGGAAAACCTAACATCTTTTTTTTAGAATATTGTGTTCTTATCCATGAAAACGGTGTGTTGATATATGTTTCTATTTGTCTTCTGTAATGTCTTTAAAGTTTTATAACAGTTTTACATATCTTTTGTTAGTTTTCTTTCTTTGATGGCTTATATATTTTGTTGCTATTGTAAATTTTCATTTTGAAAAACCTACATTTTCTATTTGTGACTCTCCAGTTTTAGTATCAAGGATGTGTCTGATTCATAACATGGTTTTCGTTCTTTTTTATATACATTCTGGGATAGTTTGTGTAAGATTAGAATTATTTATTTCCTGGTTATTTCGTAGAACTTTTAACAAAGCCGTCAAAGTCTGATGTTTTCTTTATGATAACAATTTTAATGATTCAATTTCTTTCATGGTTATTGGGCTATTTAGGTTTTCTACTTATTCTTGAATTAACTATGGAAATTACATTTGTCTAGGAATTTGTGAGTTTTGCCCAAATGCTCAAAATAATTGGCATGAAGTTGTCAGTAATATCCTATTTTTAATTTTTGTTGATGTCTGCAGCACCTATAGTGATGCCCTCTTTTTCATTCTTGATGTTGATTATCAGTGTTTTCTCGTTTTTTTTTTCGTTTTGTTTTTTTGTTTTTTTGTTTTTTTTTTTTTT